TATGCTCTGTCAGTCTGAGGCCTGAGATGTTTAAAGACATGAGTCAGATCTTCACAGGCTCCAAAAGGTGCAAGCAAGCACACAAACACACACACACACAAACACACACAGAGAAACATAGAGGCTAAGAAACTGAACTCAGTTAATTAATGATGTATGTTTGTTTTCTTCTTTAAACCTTGTTGCTCAAAATGTGGCTATTATATGAGACCGAGATGATTTGTCTTCAAGAGGGAGTATGTGGGACAAGTTACCTAGAGTGAAACTAAAGCTTATTTTAGTAATCAAGGGTTAATCAGATAAAAAAGTGCCGCATGCTGCAGATTTTTCATTTAACCACTTAAGCTTTTTTTAAATGGAATATTAGACATACAATTAAATATTCAAATAAACAAACAGTTTAATTCCTTTTCTAAAATCAGAAAAAGAAACATCTTATTGCCCAAAATGCACTAGCATTCCTTTAGCGTATACATTATATAGATATTGTATATACATTATATATAAATAAATGCTACTATCAACACGTAAAAAGCTCAGGCCTTTCCTTTGGACCTAACATCAACACAATGAAGGCCGAATTCATTGATTGTTTTTAGGATTAATTGATTAATAACTGGATAGCAAAAGTTGCTTACTAGGAGATTTATTTTCCTACAAAATGTATTCCAGGTGAAGCTAAAACTATGCCAGGGAGTCTGGGTAAACATATTTACAAATGTCTTTTTTTTTTCATCTTAATGCAAAATTGTACATTTGTTGTAACATTTTGGCTCAATTACTGCTCTGACTCTGTTGTTCTTTCATCAAATGTCCTGCTTTTGAGTTTGTGTACACGAGTTAATGATTAATCGATTGCTAAATTAATTGACAGACTGATTCCTGCCAATTAATCATTTCACCACTAAAGCTATTTCAATCTGCTAACCATATGGAAAAGTGATTACTGGGAAACACAGCATCACAACAAGCCTGTGAGCTTCTTCAGTCTGACCACATGACTGACTGCACTGTTATTGAACCTTCAGAGTTGCTTATATCAGAGATGTTGTCAGAAGCATGCAGAGTTTCCTTGGCAACAGACAAAACTCATATTATAAGTGAATTCTGGATCAATAAGAGAATCTGTAACTTCTGTTTTCACTCCAATATGGTGATTATGCTACAGGCAAAACCTCAAAAACAACTTTTTAATTTGCTGCTATAATTTGGAGGTTAGAGAGTTCATCCTGACAACATAAAGCGTCAAGATATTATTCATTTCTCTTTTTTCTTGTTTTGTTTTATTGGTTCTGGAGAGTGCCAGAGCCCCTGGTTATTATTGAGGTTTTTCGTCCAACAAAGCCAATAATTATAATAATGATACCAATAATTCAATTATGAGCTGATTTGAAGAAAGAGCATGTCTAATTAAACTGAGAATGGTGTGGTTTCCATCAAAATCAAAAACAATATAATCTCAATTTCAGAATTAAACTATAAGACTTATTTAAAATGTAAAAACATATCTGAAGTCAATATCATACATCTCAGAATATCATGAGTCTCTGAAAAAGCTAAAAGTCAAAAGAAATATAATTTAACATAGGCTATTAAATGATAAATGCTTAATATAACAAAACATATTTTTAAAGAAGTAATTTTTGTCATACAGGGCCACAACATTTCTCACTTCAGCATATTTGGAAGAACACAAATTATTCAGCTTTTAAAACAAATTTTATCACTGACTTTTTACCACCATTTTGATTGTTTTCTTTCAGATCCGTTCTAAATTAAATGCAGACTGCCACCAGTGTGCAGAACTGCATCACGAAATAGAAATCGTCAGGACGATTTACAAGTCCTGACAGCCTGGTAAATCGCCTCAATACTGGTCAGCAAAGGAATAAATAAATCCCAACTATGCAATAATAAAAACACACAGAAGATCTGGATATTCTTTTATCTGTCTAACATTCTTGTGGAAAAGCAAAAGGTTTTGTAGGAGCAAAAAAGATTCATGAAAGGGACAATGTGATGAGCTACTGTTATTAAAAAAAAAAAAGAATATTGAACATGTTTCCCATCTACCTCTCCCACATTTGGTAAGGGGTCATCAAAACTCACACAATGCTGGCAAGCTGTCAAGTGTGTATTTGTTCAACAAATTTACCATGTTGCCTGCTAGGAATTATTTGGGTCACTGCAAATACGACTGCCAGACATGGCACAGTTCGTGAGCACAGCTAAGCTGATTATTTGCTGGAACAAATAAGAAGTGTGAAGAATGCAAAGCCATGACTAGACAGAAAAACATCTTTGCAAAAGACGAAAAGGAAGAACCCAATCATTTTAAAATTTAAACGACATTACCTAATGTTACATATCAAAATGTTAGGATTCTTCCAAATGAGAAATTACTTGAACATGAAAGCAAAACTTCCAAAAATTTGAGAAGGAAATGAAGATGAAAAAACATGGAAAGAAACTCCAGAACAACTGGAGCAGAGAAGGATGCCTCAAATTATCCTTACAGAAGACCTCTTGAAATTGCCATTACCAACATATTTAATTTCATAAATTACATAAGTAGTGTGTCAATTAATTATTTTGTAAGTTGGCCTTTGTCATCCTATTTACATCCATCGAGTCTTGTTCCGTTTTTACATAAACTGCATTTTAAGTTGGTTGGATTCTTGGTGACGCTGCTCTCAATCAAAATATGCCCAGCTTTAGTTGTCAAAAAGAAAAATGAGACTGAAATTTGGAGTGAAAAGAGCCCGGATAAGACTGCGGTTTTAATTACAGCGCTACAAGGCTGGTGTTCCTCTTTGATAAAATCCTGATCCTGTTTAAGCACATCAGCTGACAAAATTGTCACTCACAGTAATTAAAGAGAACATTTGTGCTGCTATTTCAGCTATACTTAGCTGTACAACAGTTTGAGTGAAAACTTAGGACTGACAGAATGTAGCAGGTCCTTTTTCTTATCTGCTATCATAAACTCTAATTGCTTGCAACACCAGGATTGGGGGCTAAAAGTACTGAGTGACAAAACAGTTTTTACAGTTAAGTTTAAAGTGAGGGGAGACGCATTCACTGTCAATAACAATTTCCCACAAACAAAGATAAAAGTACGTCTCTCATCCTAAAAGGGCCCCACAGCAGTCACATTTACCTTCACATTTAAGGAAAATTATAAAATTTGCCCTAAAAGTTTCTCAGTTTACAGTTTGTTTTTCAGCCCTCTATGCAGCAGCGTCTAATTTTACTAATATAAGCTGTTAAAGTGCCTCAACTTGTTGCTGTATTCAGTAGATATTCGGCCCAAGGATCCTAAAGGCATTTGAAGTTTGCTTTTCAAATGTAAAATAATGGCATCTTTTTTCTAAAAAAGTTAATTAACCTGCCTAATTCAACCTGTTTGGATGCAACACAGTACATCTCCTAAGCTTTTTTTTGGGCAGACACATTGTGAGAACCAAAAAAAAATTACAAAATTAAATTATAAGACGAGGCAGAAAATGTATAGAAGTAAAACAGTGAAAGACTGAAGTACATTTTTACTAAAAGTGAAAAATCTTACCTTCAGGAATGTTACCCAGTGATTTTAACAGAAATTACAGTTGCCAAAAACAAAACTAGCTAAGGTACAGGGCAAAACCTTGTGCTTGCATAACACTGAAACTCACTGTACTATTAGTAATGAGCAAGTTGAATAAAGCAAATAAACACATAGATAATTAAAAAATCTGAAAAGAGCCACCTTGAAAAACTTTCCAATGCATCAGTTAATCATAAATTAATATTCAGAGTAACACAGTAGAAATGACATTTGCTAAATAAGTGTACTTTTATTTGGAATCAGAACTTGTGGATATGAACAAAAAATGATAGAAAGTATTGCCTCTGAACATCATGCGCTATGCATCTGGCTGCTCAAGAGCAAACATAAAAGTTGGGCAGCTCAAGAGCAACAATAACTACATAAAAACACTTTTCCATCGAATCCATCAAAACTGACGGTCGAAGGAATATCCGAGCCATCAACCATTGTATATTAATGATAGCATAATAAAATGACCCGTCTAACTAGAATCTTCACGAGCTAAAATTATTTGTCATAGTCCAACAGGATACATGGGTGCAGTCTGAGCAGGTTATCAGAACACCACAGATGACACTGAACTGGCTACACAAATAAAGAGGCCGTTTTCTGGAAGTGACAAATATGCAGAGGAGACAGAGACAAAACAGAGAGCGAAGCCCCTGAAGGTAGAAAGCCCGAGCTTTGTCTTTGTCATATGGTGTGACAAAGACACACAACATGACTGTGTGTGTTCACCATGGCTGTGTACTTTGTCTTTGGGTTTTTTCTGAAGGAAAATCAAAAATCCCAAACCTCTCTTATCTCAATCCCTCAACTCTTGTTCTTGTGATTTCATTGCTTGTTGCTTAATCTGTCAGTAACAACAAACCCGAATCCAGATTTTTGTTCTGTTGAATGCTTTAAAAGTACAACAATGAGTCTTTGTGTCTGATCAACAGCTCCTACATCAACCCATGTTTAAACGCTGCATAAACGCCACTGCAGGTCCAACAAGTGAGTGGAGAATGATACAAATGGCCGTTTTATGTCAGGAGCTAGTATGGCCAGTGACTTGGTTTGAGGTGAGGGATCACTTGCTCTACAGTGCTGCTTTGAGCCAGCAAGATTAATGTAGGCTCTCTGGAGCAAAGGCAACAACCACAGCTTTAATAAGGTACAAACAATCGGTTCCACTCCACTGGCTTCCCAGGGAAAACTATTGTTGTGCCACATTGTTTCTTGGTGTGGTTCCTTGGAGACATGTGTCTACTGCACCGTGCGACTGTCTCCGTTACAGCCTGGGGACAAGTCAGTGTAGGCCTTCGTTTGTCTGTGTCAAAATGAATGTTGGCTCTCTACCCCAACTCTTTCCCCATCCTCTCCCTTCACATCTAGTTTCCCCCACCCCTCCTGAAGCTACCCCACTCACCTCAACTCCCTGCACTTTCAGCTTCATGTGATCTTCTCGCGTGGTCTTCCCATCTTTCCTCTTCTTCCAGCAGTAGCCGTCCTTTCTGTACTTCACCTTCTTCCTGTTGTACAGTATCATCGACCCATTCTGCGGCCTGGAACCACAAAGGAGAGAGATTAAATGAGATGAGAGGATAGGCAAAGTACAGCACAACCAAGGAACTCACTTCATAGACGAGCAACGAGACCTGACAAGTTTCCACCCTGAAGAAATTGTACCAGTAACCTAGATGACAAGAATTCTTCATGGAGATATTCGGCATTGGTATTCACGGTCTGACAACGAACAAAGCGTTCCTCTGCATTTTCAGAGTGTGTGCCCTGCCAGAAGTTACAGTGCGATTCCTTGCAGGGTAAATTATATAAAGGCTAGTATAAGGCGAGTGGCAGAAGAGTGTGGAGGAGTGAGGCTCCATCATTATCTCTCATTCATTCAACCTGAATGAGTTGTGGTGCTGGAAATCCACAGGGAAAAGAGAAGATTCTCTCCCACAGTCCATTCATAATTCATTCTCCCTCCACCAGACCACAACCTGTTGCTTCACCATGAAATAATGTAACTATTTGATGATAATTTGCCTTTCCACTTAGATTTGTAATAGAAACATTTAGCATTCTGTGCTCAACATTAACAGAAAGTGTAACATAAAATATGTATGGCCGTTTTCAACAAGTAGCACGCAGTCATGGTGGATACAGTTGTGTGTATTGGTATTTGCCTGTTTTGCATAAATGCTTTGTGTTATCACTTCAAATCAATTCATATTGCATATTTTCAGTCTCCCCCATCATTCAACACAAATGCATGCATTGACTTGAGAGAAGACATATAATCTTTCTGCGGAGACAGACTTATACAACATCCTTTCAGCATCAACAATTGGATGTGCATGAGACGTACACTGTCAGAAAGACAAATACACAGAAACATGTTCAGCAAATAATTTAGCAGCGTGTGCTACAGAACAGGAACCTTCAATGTTCCTTTTTTTGCTACGTCTAATCTGCAACAAGACTTTTTTTTTGTTTTTATTTCATTAGAATGAAGAAAAGTATTGCTGGTGAGAAATACATCCAGACACTGGAAATGGAAAAGAAAGTTAACAAAAGGATCATTTGATTGGGCCTTTAGATGGAGTGGTGACCTATCATCACCAGTCCATCTGGTTGGCATGGCAGAGCAGAAAACTACATTTATGGATTCAAAAATTTTTACGTGTTGTAAAAATTACTACATGGAGTTTAAAAGTTGAGTGAATTTTCTAAAAGATCCTTCCATGTGATTGATTGCAAATGGTTACTGTATTCCATAACTCTTTGTGCTGCTTTAACTAAATACCACTTTACCTACCATCATTATCAGATATATTTCTGCAATACTCATAATTTGATTTGAAAAAAAGCTTGATTGTGGAAAGACCTGATTTTGTCTCTGAAAGCAACTGCAAAAGTTTGTGCAAAAACAACTCTGACATAACTGTTTGCAGTCTGCATCTTACTCAGAAAGAAAGATTTATGTCGTTGTTGCTCCTGCGAAGTGAGTGAGAGGGAAAGACACCGGGCTGAGCTGCAGAGAAGGCTGGGTAACCGAGGGAGGCTTAAGCGTTCAGGCAGCTGGTAAGCCATGTTAGCCATCCACTCATTTCTCCCACGTATAGACAATGTGTGTGTACACAACAACCCCTCCTCTCCATCAGAAACACACAAACCCACAAACTCAAACAACTGCAAAACACATCAAAGTGGAGAAAAAAAAAAAACAGGTTTATTTGTGCTTTCTGTAGCAATAAACAGAAAATAAATTAAAAAAAATAAGAGCCGTTGTTTTGCATTGTTTTGTTGTTTACTGTAAAATTTTCTTTTTCACAACGTTTATTTATAACCCTGCATGCATCATTTTGCAGGGCTGCCTTTGGGGGCCGTGGCGTGTGTTTATCTTAGAATCGCTCATCAATCTTCTTTTTTTCTTGCCGGATCTTGGGGGCCGGTGGGAAGAGGAAAAGAAGGAGGAGGGGGGGGGTCCCCGCGGCCCCCGCTCTTTGGCCCCTGACAGCACTTTCTAATGAGAGACGCCACTCATACACTGATGCGCTCACTCTGTGCTGATCTCCATGCCTCTCTCTCCCCTCCCCACAGCCCCTGTCTCCTCCTCGTCAGTCAGCTCAGGCTGTGCACCAGGGAATGTCTCCGTCTTTTCCCTTGCGCCGACTCCTTTTCTGTTCTCTCACCCCTCCCTCTTGTTTCATCTGTCTCAGGATCCCTCACCTCAAATCACCCACATCTCCCCTCTTTCCTGCCATCTTCCCCTCGCCTCTTGCTTTGAGCTTTGAATACTTTGCAGAAAAGAGCTATTAGGAAGACATTTTTATTGGTCATGCTTGAGAAGTTGTACTCTACCACTCAAAGGCTGGGATGTACACAAAATATAAATCATGTTCTACTTTGCAGGATCCCTAATGTCATCCATAGTGGGGCAGGGATCATAAATAGCAGCAGGGATTTTTGCAGACGGTTACAATCAGCACATGCTCTCTTAAGGATTTGCATCCCAGATTGCTCGAGTTACCATTAAAGCTACCCAGTTCAGACTCCAACGTCTCTGCTTGGGATCAATCGAACCTGAAAATGACCCATCTAAAACATTTGATGGTATTATTTATTACATTATCTATCTGCGTTTTTACCCTTCAAATAGATATGAGAAGTCTGAGCTTCTTAAAATGTAGCCCAGCATGAGACAAAAAGATGGGCGCAGATGAGATAAGGTAGAAAATCAAATGACAGAGGGCTATCTGATCTCCTCCAGAGCACTGGAAATTGGGGTGAGGCTTCGGTGTCAAAGGCTCAATGCCGCATTTATCAGAGCTCGGTGCAAAAACTTATTCGCTCAGCTATTTTGGAGGGAGCATTTAGTAGACCCTATTTACAATTCAAGGCACTTTGAACTTAAAGAGAGCTTAGGCATCCATTCTGGACAGGACGGGAGACCGGTTAAAAAGTCTTGCTTTGTCAACATAATGCATCTCTTCTTCCTCTTGCGGTCTCACTCTTTTTCTCTTCCAATTCTTTCCCACTACTGTTTACTTTGGTGTTTCAATTAATTTTATCAGAATTACACATATTTATACATGAGAGGAAAGCTAAAAGCTGTGTTCTTGTAAAACGCTTGACAGGTGGCCCTTTTTGTCTCAGATACTGAAATGTAGCAGATTAATATGGAAATGCAGGCTTCTGTCAAAGTGTTCCACATCCGCCTTTCCTTTTCCTCCTTTGAACTTTTCTGCGATAATAAGATTTACCCTCAGGACGGTGTTAGGCCTTGTCCACTCCTTTAGGAAACATTCATTTACTCAGGTAATGACATTCGCTCAATCAGATTTGTTCATTTGAAAAAAAAAGTCAAAGGAGGGTACAGGTTTTTTATGAGGCAGCTGACGTGCTTTGAATGGGTAGCACAGTAAAACCAGGGGAGGGATTGCAAAAAAAGAAAAATCTGTATAAAATCTCGGCTTTACAGTCTTAAGGCACAAATACAGAATATAAAATGAAGAAAATCACAAACAGAGACAGAAAAACAAATCTGTTAAAGAAAAAGGTTGGTGGAAAAACACTGGTGATTCATGCCAGAATTATGGAAGAAAAAAAAAGAAAATTCAATGTGGATGTATTCATTTACAGCTGCTGTCATGCTGGTTCCTATTTTGCCATGTGGTTGGCGTATCTAAAAATGCTTTTTATGTGGGTCTAAGTGTGAAGAAATAAAGCATATTTTGTGAGACATCATATTCAAGTATTCCTTTTTTTATGCTTCTCTTTTGTGTGGCGTTTATGTTGCAATGACAGCACAGTGGGATTATTTCCATTTTTAACAATTACAAAACGAAAACCCAAAAACGTTTTGTGGAGCTATGGAATTCCCTGAAGTATGCACATATTTGAATTGACAAACGGCATTGTTGTTAGTTGTTGTTTTCTGAAATTAGGTTAAATTCCAGCAAAAACCTTTGAGATAAATAAATGTGGAGACTGCTTGTCAGGCTTTCTCATCCAAAAAAATGAGAAAACCTGATTTAAGGTGCCCTATTGGAAGAATGGTCAAAATTTATTCACAATATACTCACTGAAGACAGCCTTCTCAGAAGCATTAAGCTGTTGTGGCTGCAAAGGGTGAGCAAACACTATATAGGAACCTTTGTATCAAGACAGGGGCTGCATGTAAAAAAGTCTCAAGGTGTTTTTCACAACATCTTTGGTCATACATTATATAGTATGTGTGGGAATGCAAATGTTTTGGCATGTTGTAAAATCATTGGCAAGATGAAATAGACATAGAATGAGAAATTTGTGAAGGGCAAAACAACAATGGACCAAAATGGACAAGCTCTACACTTACATACAGTGTATCAACAATTGTTGTAAGACAAAAAACTGGTGGATTACTTTCAAAAACGTTTTTAAGCTCCACATTCACAAATGGCTTGTAAGACTTAACTGTAAAGCTTCTTCTGTACAATCATGCTTTAGAAGCAGTCTGCACACAGATACATCTGTGAAGGATAATCACGCAGTATAAAACATGCTCTGCTGTCAGATCTGTCTCTCTGGAAGAGGTGGATGGCACATTCTCCTGGCTGAAGACAAAATGATCATCCAGATTGGTTTAATGAAGCAAGTCCAAAAGTCAGGCTCTTTTTAATGGTATGCGTTTCCCCTGTAAAAACCAACTAAGCATATTATAAAGTGGGAGGAAATAATGGGAACAAATAACATAAAATTATGGTCAACCACACGGCAGTAAGCTGCGTTCCGTTTTGCTGCAAGACAGCCCTGACCCATTGAGGCACATTGCACAGTTGCTCAGATTGGATGGAGATCTGTGAAATTTAAAGGCCAAGTCCACAATTAAACCTGTTGGGCTCTTAAACTCATTCATTTGCTTTGAAAAAAGGTAACATCATCCCACCGACACTTGCTCAAAACTATATATTTGCACAGTTTTTCAGTTTCTAGTACATCGACCTCTTTGGAAACAAAATTTACTCTCTGCCAGATGAATTCCAACACCTAAATGGGCGCCATGAAAAGATAAGAAGTA